TAGAGGTGTGTATTAAAGGAAGACGACGGCTTTAGCAAGGCAAAGCAGACACTGCTGCGTCAGGCTCCTGGTGTATCGCAACCACACTGAGGAACTGATCCTGAATGTGCCACACCTCCAGAGGCAGTTGGACCAGTGTCGTCACACAACATCCACGGAGTCAAAAGGCCCGTAGGAGGTTAACCTTCTTCCAAGAATTCCATGACACACGCATGGGTATCAACGCAATGAGGTAAGGCAATGGTTGAATCCGTACAACCTTGAACAATATGCCAACAGGCTGCATTAATGCCACCAGAAGCAGAGCCACAAGCTTGGCCAGAACCCACGGCTTTATGGACAAGAATTTACATGGACTGCACTGCACCTATTGAAGGTAAAACGGTGCTAATTGTGGTAAACAGTTACCAAGATTGAAAGAAACCACTGGCATCAGCAGCCAGCCAACTCCATTGCAACAGTCGAATATCTGAGGAACACGGTCGCCTGGTTAGGACTTCCTGTTTGCTTGGTGTCCAATAATGGAACACCACTCCCCGGCACGCTGTTTACCGACTTCATTACTCAGAATGGAATTGGCCACCTAAGGACTGCACCTAACTATCCACAGTCAAACAGACTTCCCGAGAGAGCTGTCAGAACGATCAAGGACAGTCTAAAGAAACTCTCGGGTGGTTCTTTGGCCGCATACTTGCCAAGACGGCTCCTTGTGTACCGTCGCACACCGCCTACCACAGGAGGACAATCTCCAACAGAGCTCGTGTTCAACTTTTGTCCTAGAGTTTGCTGCATGGACCTCATCACTGAGACCCAGGAGCCAAAGGTAGACCTGGAAAGACCTAGCAACCTTAAAGAAAGCAGCCCTGTTTTTGAAAGAAACATGGGAGCTGTAGAACAATGGGGACCAAGATCATCTTCCAGGTTGTCCAAAACTGCATGACTTTGGTAAAATCCACCATGGCACAATGAAGCACCACCTGGGCCAGTTGTGCCCCAGACGCTTTAACTCAACTCATTTTTAGTCAGATGATGAAATTACCACTGGGCACTAACTTGATTGGCAGTTAACAAGTGAAAAAACCAGGCTATGGACCAGGAACTGAGCAGGCATTTTAAGCAGTGCAAGGATGCCCCACTCAGGCACGGGGGACACCAACCAAGATGAACCTTTAGCTTGTGCGGCAAAGTGTTGGATCATGCCACCACCAGGGGTCAGTGTTTCTGGGGGCTTCCCTGTGCAACGGCCATGGGCTTTCTCTCTCTTCCCACACTTTCCAGTGACCATGTAACAAACATGTATGACACGGCCATGTCAATTATTCCCTAATAAACAAATAGGTATGATCCTTGCACTCCATGGATGAAGGAGCCACCAACAATTTCAACATTGGTCTGTATGGAGTCAAAAAACAAGGAAATAAAGGAACTTCTGACACACAACTATTCTTGATGCATGCACACAACAGACTACTTCCATAAAGCCCTGCATGCAACACGGCGCGCGTTGCACTCTGGGAACTAGTTGGCCAGGGAGGAGAGTGGCATGGTTTCGGTTTCGATCGACACGTCGACCAGAGATTACACACAGAGCGTGGACTATAAACGGCCATTATCTCATGTTTTCTGGTCCCGAGAGCGTCACTTGTGGTCTATAAACTAACCTAAATGGCCAGACCTCGAAGCTTTAGCACAAGCCCGAGACGTATATAGCTTCTCTTAACACATGCTTGTTCTATTTTTGTACTTGAGCCTTTTTGTTAGCGTTTCGAGGTATCTGGACGAGCCAGTGCTGGGAATCTCGACGCTGCAAAGCTCGGGGATCTTGCTTATGTACGAATCAACAGGCTGTAGCAACCAATAAGTATGCATACATCAAGCTCGCGCCTTTACATTATATGTTGTTGATCAGGAAGTTTGTTCGTTTCGTGCGTCCACAGAAGAAATATTACTTTTTGCAATTACTGTTTTCTTAATACGCCTGTGTATGCGAAGTAAAACTCGGAGGTGCCACTGAAAAGCTTCTTATCTCTTATCTGTACTGACCCGCAGCACTGCACGAAGCGAAGTCCCCACCCACTTGCATTTTACTAATATTCAACATCGCGTATGCACGTAAAGTTATCCTGCAATCGTATAGGCACATTCGCGCATACAGACCGTTTTAAGAAAGCAAAAGTCGAGCACTTGTGTGAAAAATGTTGCACCATTCGCCAGAAGTACGCCGGACGGGTATGAACCCCTATGCGGTGCGCCAAACGAACGAAATTTTTCAAAGTGCATTTGACGGTTGCTAATGGCCATAATATTTGTCATGTGTTAGCTTTCTTCCTGCCTGAGTATGCCGCGATAATTTCGGACACACCGTTCAGGCACAGATCTTGGGCGTCAGTAAAAGCTCGTCCAAAAAGGCTTAGCGAGGAGTAGGCGACGCTTGTTAGGGCCTCCGTCGTAGCTAGCCCATCTCCGCGTTTGCGAAAACTTAATCGTCTATCAGCATAAAATATGATGACATGAGGAAGACATCATAGTAACTTTGGTGCAGTAGTGAGGTCGAATTTATTGCATTTCCTTAAAAGTTTACGCATCAACGCTGGGCTCAACTTTGATACTCCTGTGAAGATGCGGCTTGCTTTTCGCCCAATGAAGTAACAAGAAGCGGACATTTGGCAAACAAAATATGTGTAATGCTCCAGGTGACCGAATTTCACTTGTAGTTCAATGGTACTAGACGGGATTATTGAAATTGAACTCAAAGATGATGTGACTAAGCCACGTCCTACTACGTTTGCATACGCACTCAAATATCCGGTGTTTCGGAAACCAAAAAAAGTGCCCCGGCCTTCGTTTTGTATCGCTCGAGAATGAGTATATTGTACATTCGTAGAAAAGTCAGATAATCGAAATTGCAAGCAGTGCGTTCGGTCGCGGCGTGATAGCATGAGATGAATCTGCTCAGTCGAAACCGAAACTGAGTGGCCAACTAGTTCCCAGAATGCACTGCATGGCATTTCGCCGCAATGGGGCGCGTCGGTTTTGGAAGAAGTCCATTGGCCAGCAGTCTCCTTGCAACATCCTGGACACAGCAACAAAACCCAGCCCTTGCACCTGTTATACTGAGTACGAGCGTCTGACAAAAACTAACTCACGGAAAGGAAATGGCGGCAGTTAGGTCTACTGCAAACAAACTAACACACAGATACCTGACAATAATTAAGTCTGCAACTACAATGAAATAAAATGAGACAGACCCAAAAGCTGCAACCGGTGACCATGGAGGGGACATGGGTCTCGTGCCTCTGCAAGAAAAAACACAGAAACCGCAAAATTAAAATAGGCAAGTGGATAAACCAAAAGGGTCGGAGGCAAAGCATAGGCTCCCAGAAGCGTAAAGGTGCTGCACGGTGAAGGCTCACATGGAAAGCTCATGAAGTAAAGGGATGGCTTGCAAATGTCTTAAGCAAGTGCAGAAGTGATAAACTTGAGGATACAGAGAGAGTGCATATTTCGAGGTATGCGAATGACACGAGGAAAGTGAACAGAAGAATGACAGAGGAAAAGACAAGCTAACATGGGCAGGAAGTCTCTGCATAGGCTTTCATGCAAGACACCAGGAAGGAAAGGGTAGGCTACAAACATCCACATGAAGCAAAAAGGGATGAGTGAAACATAAGCAGTGCACAGCACAAGAAGGAGGACAAGAAAAAAAAAAACATGACACAGAAGAGCAAGTTTGCATGACAGCGAAAGCTTCACATAGGCCTACACGCAGAGCAGAAGAAAAAGTGCTCCCCACAAAGAACCGTAGCAAGCGTAAAAAAATTCAGAGGCTTCATGCAGCCATATGCACAGAGCACAATAAAAAGAAAAGCTTCCCACAAACATCTGAAGCAAGCGTAAAAGAAAAAGAATATTCTGGGACTTCACTCAGGCTTACATGCAGAGCAGAAGAAAAAGAAAGCTTCCCACAAAGAGCTGAAGAAAGTGTGAAAAAAATTTAGATGCTTCACGCAAACTTACACGCAGAGCACAAGAAAAAGAAAGGATTCCCACAAACATCTGAAGCAAGCATGAAAAAAATCCAGAGGCTTCATGCAGGCTTGCACGTAGAGCATAAGAAAAAGAGCTTCCCACAAACATCTCTAGTAAGCGTAAAAAAATTCAGAGGCCTCACACAGGTTTACAGGCAGAGCCTAAGAAAAAAAGCGTTCCACAAAGACCCATAGCAAGCGTAAAAAAATTCAGAGGCCTCAGGCAGAGCACAAGAAAATGGGCTTCTCACAGACCCGTAGCAAGCATAAAAAAATTACAGATGCTTACAAGCAAAGCACAAGAAACTTCCCACAAACATGTGTAGCAAGCATAAAAAAAAATGCAGAGGCTTCACGTAGGCTTACATGGAGATCACAAGAAAAAGGGCCTCGCACAAACAACCGTTGCAAGAGTAAAAAAAATTCAGAAGTGTCTCGGTAAACAAGGAACGCAAAAATTGAAAGCTGCCCTTAACACAAAGAAGAAAGCAAAGTAAAAAACAAATGAGAACGGGACACCAGTTTAATCAACTAAGGCAATCTAAAACACTAATTAGTTCTCCGAGGTCCTGCCATCGACTGCCGAAGTCCCTGCGTTCAGCTGCCCCAGCCGCCAACTCGCGACTTTTTTCCCGCAGGAACAGTTGCAGCCGTGCATGGCAGAATCGCCTGATGAGCTTCACTTTGATTTCATGGCAGTCGGGCAGCTGAACACATTGGCTCTCTGCAGCCATCCTCGCCGATAGGCCGTCCAGGATGCCCCGTGCATGCATCAAATCCGCAATGAGGCTGCGAAAGACACTTTCACAAATTGTGAAGAGGGCGCGTGCAGCTTCAGAGGGGCAGGTCAGAGCGTCAGGGACATAACTCTTTAGCCTGAGGAGGGTATTTGCAGGTGCCATGGGGACTCGAACAGCTGCAGCACACGTGTCACATGTAGCATTATTTTTTACAACTCTTCGTACCACATACCCGCGTAATAGTCAAAGCTATCCTCCTCAAGTTGTGACATGGTGAGTTCTACCTCCTCAAGAAAAATGTCGGTGGGCACAGCAGGTTGTACATCCAAGTCTGCGAGGTCAGCCAGGTAAAAGGAGGCATCGTCCAGTTCGTAGGACCCTGCCTTGGACGCCTTCAGGTACTGCGAGTGTGTGATGATTTTCAAGGTCATCTTAAACTCCAAGAAGTTGTGATAGGGTTGCCCTGTCGCACTACCGAAAACAAGTTCTCATGGCAGTCCTGCGTGAATCTGGATGTGAGCACAAATGAAAAAGAATGTCTCTCAATGAGACTTTGCTGCAGGTCCAGAATGGACTTAGTAGAGAGAATTACCCCCACCTGCACTGGCTTGAACGCCCCATCCCCAACAGTGAGGTGGAGAAAAAGATCCTTAAATTTGACCAGAAAGTCAAGGGTGTTCTTGTAGCAGGCCTCATTTTGCCTGCTGATCGCAAGGACTGGGTGCCTGCTGCTCATAAGATCAAACCATTTGTTGACCTGTTCCAAGAACCAAGCCGTGGTGAGGAAGTTGGTGCTCCAGCCATGATTCTCCACCAGGAAGCGCAGGGCAGTGGCCGTGGAGTGACTGAGGACCCGTAGGGCAGTGCTCACCTACAAACACAGAACTGCTTTAGATCATCAAGTGTATGCAATGTTTGGTAAACTGGACTGAGGAATCAATGATTTGAAACTTTCCCCTCAGTCAATAAAAGAACAGCATGGGCACTAAACAAAGAAAAGGCTGCTAACTTCCATTCCTGTTGTCCATACGAATGGTTTTTGCTGGTTTTTTATGAGTTTTTGCCACTCTCTTAAAGTTGGCAGTTCCACTTCACGAGCAAAGGTGATGAGTGCCAGCGCTGAAGTAAAGTACACTCCATGGTTACTTTGGTAGCTGTGCGTTGCTAAAAGTGTCACCGACTCCGATTTGTGAACCACTGACTGATTTTGTTGAAAACACTTTAAGGGAAGCTAAAGAGGTTCTCCAAAAAAAATTAGAGGTAAATTCTTCCGTATTTGTATCCTGCAAATTTGAATATGCACTATTTGCTCAAGAAGTATCACCCAACGCAAAGAAATATTTCAAAAATTCACTCAGCATGATGTCACGTCAAGAACTTTCACCTGGCCACCGAAGCTCAAGCACCATCTCTCGTGCAGTGTTCCGGCACATGTGACCAACCAGCCTTGCCCAATGCAGTGCTTTTTTTATTCTCGTGAAATGGTGCGTCATCTGCTACAGACGCCTAGTTCCCACTACAATCTTTCACGCCTGACCAACATCCGCTAAATCTTTTATGAAAGTTTATAGGTGTACTAAACTTACGTCAAAACAAACAGTCGAGCGAAAATCGTGAGCATGAGGTGAATCGCACACAATTTGTCGACCACTCAAATAAGCTTGCAATAGCTGCAGAGATTCCAAGGATCCTTGTTGCGACGCTGCTGTCTCTCAGAAATTTCCTCCTAGCTTCTTACACCTCGGGAGGGCGGGGCTTCAGCGCTATGGTCAAAATGCTTTGATGGCTACTCCGGGCCTCAAATTGACAAATAATTTTAATAATCGTGATACTGGAGGCCATATGAAGATGATGCAAGTGTTTTTTAAAGGTACAAAACCGCTTTAGTTTCCCCTTAAGCAGGCATGTGCGAATAACGAATTTTATGTTTCAAGCGAATAAGAAGCTAATAGTGACTTGGGTCGAATAATTTCGAATCGCATATTGAATACTTGCGGTGCCTTTCTGATACTGCCATTGCGCTCAGCTTCCGCCATCTTGACAGTGTTGATGTCAAGATGGCGGAAGGTAGCTTAGCTTGGAAGCTAACCTAAGTTAGCTTCCAGTCGTGTGTAACTAGCTTAGCTAGCTACAAACAAGCTAAGCTACATGCTAACTTAGCTTAGCACTCTTACCTTAGTACACATTTTTCAAAACATTATAGTAATTGAGTGATGGATGAGTGTGAACGAGTATGAATAAAGTCATTTTAGATATGATATAAAGACTATCATACCTAAAACACCTAATATCAAGGGGCACACAGTAATCCACTGAAATCAGGTTAGACAAGAGTAATTTTGAGTATGTTTTGTTCACGTTCTCAAGGATGTGCGTAAATTCTGCAGTTGTTAATCGAAGCAACAAATGAAGCTTGTCATTTAGTTCTCCTTGTCAACAGCATTTTTCCTGTAGAGATAGCTTTCTAGTGCACAAACTCAGCATGTGAGCAATGATTATACTTTGTAAAGGAAAATCGAGCTGGTTTCATTTAGGTTATTCTCAAGTATCTGCCTACCCACTGCCAAGGCTCAGTTAATTCTGAGCCCTACATAGAGATTGTAAGTAGATGAGAGATTTGTCAGTCCTCTTGCTATACCCAAATATTCGTTTTAAATCTTAGACTAAAGAAATGATGAGCAATGATGCACACTGCTTGACGGAACCTCAATTGTAGAGTAACACATATTCATGGTGAAAGCCAGTTTTTTTTTTTTTTTTTTGGCCTTGAGGTAAGCACTTATATTGACCAGGAACATGAACAATCATTACGCTACATTACAATGTTTTCCTGCATTCGTCGCACACGCGCGTGACCTCTTCTTCTCTGGAGGTGTGCCTTCCACTCAATGCACAATCGCAGTGCCTGCGAAATACGCACGATCACGGTGTTTTCTCTGTAAGTGTCGCTTTTGCACAGCACACCGGTGCTCGTTAAGAAGCGCACTCAACTGCGCTAACTCGCTGCAATCGCGACTTTGCCAGCACTTAGAAACTGTGCACATCACCGAACGAACGGCACGCGGCCAACTCATCGCGAGTCCCAAGGGCAACTGATAAGAGCGCTAGAGCGATCTCGACATCACAGGACACAGGACACACACGATTGGTAGGTGAGATGATGACGTTTTATTCTAGTAGGGCCGCGCCAATCACGGGGTGCAGATTAGACCTACCTTCCACTACATTAATGGGACGCTTAGTACCTGGGAATGGTGACTAGAATGACGTCACGTGAGAACTGTGTATAGCCATAGGCTGGGGATGGCAACATGTGCAGCATGTGCTGAGCTGTAAACAATGTTTAATTTTGGCCATTCGTGTGCAGAGATTAGTCATGAGCTGCCCAAATGTTTGCCGAGGCACTTATTGTCACGAACCCAAGTCAAGTGTTCATGCAGTGCTCGTATGGAATCCATAAGCCTCATTCGACCATCATCACCACAGGGTGCTCTCCTAGACACCGTCAGCATAATTACCTCCATGGTCGCATCAGCAAGGTTACAAAAATTGGGAGTGAAGGAAACACTCCCCCTCTAAACTTGAATTCACATCTCGACGCGTGCAAGATACTGAGGTCAAACTAGTGCTGTATGCCTGCGATGAGAGAATCATTCCAACACAATATCAATAATCTACCCCTTCATACCACACTGCAACTAAGTGAAAAAGGAACCATGACACCAACTTATCATTTAAAAATAAATTGTGTAAAATACAAAAACACTACAGTTACTAACAAGGATATTATATCTGCAAATAATCAACAGGGAGCTTTGAAGCATTTGAGTGGCCTGACAACAAACTTGCCTTCAAGCCGCCGCCCCAGAGTTCTAGACGACGGCAATGGGAAGCTCCCCTCCAGTAGCAAGTCGTAGCCCAAGCTGCCACATGCAAATCGCATCTGCAGCGACTTCTTCACCGTCTCATTAGACCACTTGGACCCCCTGTTGCTGGATCTCGATAGAGCTGCCAGTTGGTCCGCAGTGAAGAACTTGTGCAAGTGAGACCGGAATGTCGCTTCCCTTGTCTTTTGTAAGGCAGCCTGCCTCACCAAGCGATGATTCTCGTTCTCCAGCTGCTTGATCTTCCGGCTCATCTGAAAAAAGACATCTTCAGTAAGCCTAGGTAAAACGGATGATGGAGAAAGAGGCTGTAGGGTTCGCTCAGAGGTCTTGGCCGCTGGTTGCCACAAACACGGTACAAGAATTGGGTGTTGCCCACCTTGAGATCACTCCAAGCAGTGCAAGAACCATGACACATACCCAGCTGGTGGAGGCCGCCGACACCAAGGTGCCGAGGGCAGCTGCGCTGGCCTGGCCGCGCTGGTTGTCACTGGTCACCTGCAGCGAAGGGTGCGGTGGTATTGCTACACGGGGGTACGCAGGACCCTGGAAGATGCTTACGAAGCACGCCCCGCTGGTGGTGGGGAGCGGCTGCGTCAGCAGGCCGCCCTGCAGGGCCGCTACAGAGGTCCTGGCTGCTGGTTGCTGCAAACACGGTATGAGAATCGGGTGATTCCCACCTCACAAGATCACTCCAAGCCGTGCAAGAACCACATACCCAGCTGGTGGAGTGTGCTGACACCAAGGTGCCGCGGGCAGCTGAGCTGGCCTGGCCGCGCTGGTTGTCACTGGTCACCTGCGGCGAAGAGCGTGGTGGTATTGCTACACGGGGGTACGCAGGACCCTGGAAGATGCTTACGAAGCACGCCCCGCTGGTGGTGGGGAGCGGCTGCGTCAGCAGGCCGACCTGCAGGGTCGCTCCGGAGGTCCTGGCCGCTGGTTGCTGCAAACACGGTAGGAGAATCCTCGTTTTGCAGAAATATGGGTTTGAGAATAAATGGATTTGTCGCCCTTTCTCTCTTCATGCTGGCCGAGCAGAGAGGGACGAAGGCTTCTTTGTATTTACCTCGGGGTGAAAGATAATCCTCAAGGGGGACAAAAGTGGTTTTGGGGGAGCTCTATCTAAGTCACTGCGACACAATAAGCCAACGGGACGCAGTGGACGTGCCTGCGGCCAGGGAACTCTCGTCTTTTAGCCATGCATTCTCGAACCACTAATTCTGCACATGGTCCATTGGGTGTTGCCCACCTCACGAGATCCCTCCAAGCCATGCAAGAACCATGACAGATACTTAGCTGGTGAGGCTGTCATAACATTACAAGGCAGCTGAGATTGATGAATGCCTCATGCATTAACTTAATAGAAGCAACAGAATATGAGTTATTGGGTTTTGACTTACATTTCCATGAGGCGGGGTTTTGTGCTGTGTCAGGCTGCAACACTGAATGATGGTGTCTCATGCACTCTTGCACAAGAACCACTCCGATTTAAAAAAAAAAAAAAAGGTCTCTGACATGGAACAGAGATGTCAACAGCCTACCAAGTCCACATTATTATAGGTCACCTGTGCCTCTTTCAAATCATATCAGTAAAAACATCTTAACACAAGATAAATTATTGCTTTTAATTCACTCTCATAATCTAGGTAAATACCAAAAAAACAAAAATCTCACTTATCCTCGTTACACGGACTCACTTGACTTTCAGAATGCAGAAACAAGCTCGGAACAGCTGTGGCTTTTAGCCTCCTCCAGCCGTCAGAGCACCTCGTCTGGAACTGGGAGGGCTCGAAGTGGTCCTGCAGCGAATAACGTTTTGGTAGACGTCAAAACTGTAATTCAGCCGCTCGCGTCACAGTACAGTTATTCCGCTGACGAGAGGCTCACGCTTTCAAAATACGCGATCTTACAAATCCATCATCGCACGACCGCCACAGGCCTGAACCACTCGTCTTTCTGCGGTGAAGCGAAAGCGCACAGGACGCTTCCACGGCAGTAGAGAATAGATCACAAAATACACGGTTTTGTCACAGTGCACTCGCGTCCACCGTGCTCGCGTCACATTATTAACAATGAACAATACCTCACCTCGCAAAGGTACGTTCTGTCGGGAAATTTCCACCCGCGCCACGCTTGATTCCTGAAAGCCACAGTTTCCGTCTCCTCGGGGATTTCGGCAGCTTGAACAAGCGAATTCCCCTGGAAGCTCTGTTCCGGCACTTCAGAGCACAACAACGACCCATTTTTCAAACAAGACCGGAACGGCGGAACTCCCGCGGCTACACAAACTTTTGTTTACGTTATTTCAACGCACGTGTCCGCGTGCGCATTCGTTTATTCTACCATTAAAGAAGGCTATGACGAAAAGCTCACATGCACCAAGTTTTCAGTCACCGAGCGTTAACTTTTTTAACTCTAGCGACGCTAAAATGAAATTACCGAACCCTGCTTTACTTTTGAGGCTCACGACTACCGCTAGGGGAGGTTTTGCGGCTTGTGATTGGCCACGAGCGGCCTGTCAATCAACTATTCGACCAATAGATTTTCGCCCCATTGATACCAATGAATGGCCAAACTCTCCCAATATACGGCTCTGGAGTAGCGCAATCCAGAACGCCATCTCTCGGCGTCTAGCGGTGAACGCCTGCAGGTTTCAACTCCGGTCACAAATGCATGGGGAACGTGAGAGAATAAAAATTTTTTTTTTTTTTTTTATATATTTTGGGGATGTACGGTACAACAATAGTTTTTGACATAATGAAGGAATGTTTTACAGTATTTTGCGCTAAGGTTTGTGCCACGTAAGAAGCTATTTTTTTTTATAGGAATTGCTTGAGCGGCATTATGCAGCAGACTACGCGGCGACATCGCACCGTTCACGTGACCCGGTCCGGCCAATCCAAAAGGTTCATCTCCGCTGCGTAAAAAAATTGTCTGCTTAGAAATTGTTTTTTTTTTTTAATTTGCACACACACGCAATGTTATGAAAACTTTGATAAAATGTTTAGTGCTTTACCAACTTTACGAAGACTAGTTTTGAAAAGTGTGAACTCGGCGTTTATTTTTTAATCAGCCGTGTTGCATTGATCCTCATGTGTCCTCCCATAGGTCGGGCACCGACTCGCGCCGAGCTGCTCTGTCGGCCATGTTGTCGGCAAAACATGCAGGGTGGTGTTCAAACACGTCGGACCCGTGTTCTTGTAGATATCGCAAAAATAAACTAGGCATCGCAGAACGCTCATTCTCCGCCCAAAGGTAGCGCTAGAGGTTACCCAGATGCCTAAGTTTCAGCCCGATCTGATACCTTATTCAAAAGTTATAAGTGATTTTCTGAAAATTTTAATGGGAAAATAAAGCCCATTTTTGCTTGTTTTCGGTTTCTGGTGCCATAGAGCCCCATGTATTCGAAAACTCCGTCGGCCTCCATTTTCCCATTGAAATTTTCAGAAAATCAATTACAACTTTTGAACAAGGAATCTTATCGGGCTAAAACCTTGGCATTTGGGTGCAACCTCTAGCACAGTGGTTCTCAACCACCGATGTTTCGCGGACCCCTGTGGATCGGCGGAGATGATGGAGGACCCCGTTCGGGGTGAGGGGAGGTATAGGGTAAATATAATAATAATTGAATAACTGGATTTAAGTAAGGGCTATTGTAAAGTAGACCCTTCTTATTGACGTGCACGCGAGGAAACTCGCCCAAAAACTGAAACATTTATTCTCGACCTGGAAAAAAAAACTTTTATTGCCGGGCTTGATTGATGAACGCGGACCCCTAGATTGCCTTCGCGGACCCTGAAGGGTCCGCGGATCCCCATTTGACAACCGCTGCTCTAGCACTACGTTTGGGCGGAGAATGAACCTTCGGCGATTTTTTTGCAAAAAAACAAACAAACAAACAAACAAAAAAAACTAATTTTTTTTTTGTGATACCCTGTATATACAGGGTATCACAGGTAGAATGTAGACTGATGCAGGTAATACGTTCTTGCGACAGATCTTGCATTGAACCGCTACAACTTCTTAGTATCAAGTGCAGTAATGAGCCACATGGATTGGTGTGTAAGGTACCTCTTTGAGTCTGAATACCTCTGCCTGTGCTTGTATGGTCGTGTCCGTTGTGGTGGTCGCCCTGTCGTGACCTGTTGAATTGGCGGCGAGAAGTATCCCTTTTAGTCCCAGTGTCGAAGCGACACTCTATAGTGGTGAATTTGTTCTCCAATAGGGTCTCCAATTGTTCATCTATGGTGTATGCATTCCTTTTCCTTCTCTCACTGGGACTCTAAGTAAACACTGCTTCTGCTCCAGAAGGATCTGCAGTGTGAGTTGCGTTTCTTGCAGAGTCCGCTGGGATCATTGAGTTCTGCGTTTGCGTCTCGGTGCCCTGAAGAGAACTGCTTCCGAGCAAGTATACGGCATAGGACGATTCACCTTCCCGTAAATGGGAACGTGAAGGCGGGTCTTCAAACATGACCAACGAGTACCTTTTTGTGAGACTGGGGCTACGATCTTGAGACTTGGATTGAAGTTGTTTCCATTGTAGCTCTTCAGTTGGTTCTTTTGTAGCAGATGCAGCTGTTCGTGTGTGGCTACAGGACCAATGCCTGTTGAGAGCATCTGCTTTCTCAGCTTTTACCTTGGCATTCCTTCGTCGTTTTAATATAGCGAGGCAGTCGTTGGTAATGTGGCCCTTGTTCTCGCACAACACATAAGTGGCAACTTCTCCTTCGCTGTCGTTCAGGGGCAGAACGTTTGTGGCTCGTCTCATGACAGTTGAGGCAAATGAGGCATCTATTTGTAGGGAAGGTGCGAGTTGGCCAGTTGTAGGAGTACACTTGTCTTGGGATGGACGGGGCTTCCATTGTAATCAGGCCGGTGTGGGACTTTCCGAACGTGCGAACCGGGATAACTTGGCCATGCGGCAACTAGAGGTTCTTGCGGTTCTCTGCCTCGCTGCTGCCGGGTTCCACTACGTGAATGACGAAGCGGACCTTGCGTTGCGGTGGTGCGACATAGCTCGTCACTTTGATCTCTCTCCACGTTTGAGTTACCTTTGTCGTGATGCTCAGAGTCCTTCATAGCAGTGTGTCGAACCGAAAAAAATACGGGTTCAGTTACGGTTCAGGTTCAGGTAAATTTATTTTGTTCCGGTTCAGTTCCGGTTCGATTAATTCGATCCGCGAACCGGTTGGGGCGCTGAACCGGTTCGCGAACCGGTTCGGAAATTATAAATGACAAATTGCAACATCAAAATAAATTACAAATAAAACATCTGAAATCAGCACATACGAAACGGGATACATCGTAGTGTAAGGCTCAGGGATTTCTACCAGGAATGGTTTCTTTATGCGCACTCAAAGGTTACCTCACCGACGTTTACGCATTCGGACTTCATCTAATTGGGTCCGACGCAGTAGCTGTAAAGTCCACGACCTCCTTACAAATTCACTTACAAGTGGAACTCGCTAACTATCCCGCCACCTCGGCGTGTA